TTATTAGAGAGATTAAAATTCAGTGGGATTAGATCTATGATAGATTATTTGATAAGCTTCAATCACTTCCTCCATATTCTTTAGTCTTGATCTGTCTCCATTTACAATTCCTAATTTTTAAATGAGTCCCTCTATGCCATATGGCAACATTTCCTCTTCCTTTGTTCTCTGTCTCAGCTTTTTTTTTTTTTTTTTTTAAATCTGTTCCAGCTTCATCTCTTTGGCATTGCCAAAAGGCACATAGTTCTCCAGGTAAATCTGTCAGGATTGTGTTCCACTTTGTTACCAATACCTTTTGTGAGGATTTTGCTGCTGGAATTGAAATCAACAGTTCCAAATATTGGGCCAAATATTTAGGAAATCATGCACAATGATTGTTAGAACTATTTGTTCACTTAAAAACATAGTTCCTTTTCCTGCACTAAGAACAGCAATGTATGTCCATAGTTCAAATAAAATATAAAATAGAATAAGGAAGCAAACAAACAAAAAAAGACACTTACAGTCTTAACACCAGAAAGATCCTAGCTACCATTCATATTCTGGTAATTTCTTTCTCTTGCTCTGTCACCTAACAGATTTGGGACTAAACTGTTGTTCTTTTCTGCTTTTCAAGGCTGTTACTAAAATGTGAGCACTTTCCCCATGTCATTAACTGTTCTTAAAGGCTCCATCTGATGCATTTTATTATGATTTACTTAATCATTCTTTTTATAAGCAGAGGCCATAGTACTCAAATAACTCAAATAATACCTCGACCTGGCTTCCCTTCAGTACCTTATAAAACATTACTCTTTGAGTCACAAAGTACTTCCTTATCACATATTCTTCTCCAATCAGTCTCTCTTCTTAAACATTTGAATATTACATAAAATGCACAAGACTTAGGGTCAGCTGTTCTAATGCTGAGTGTGTTACGTGGTATTCAGCAAGTCGCCTCCTCTGATTTACCTTCAGGTCTCTCATCTGTGAGATGGAGTAACGACCCCTTACTTCGTTACAATGCAGTTGCTGTGCAGATGAAATGAGATGGTGAATGTGAAATTGTTTTACAAATTAGAAAACTAGGGATTCTTCTTTCCCTGCACTCGACTTCTGTAACCCAAACCCAAAGGCAACAGTGATTCTTTTTTTTCCCCCTCCTTTTTAGCAGAGAAAGGCTGCATTAAGGTGCTAAGAAAGAGCGTTATTCAACTACCTGACCTCCCAAAGGATTTATTAACGTTTAACCTCAACTCACCCCTTCCCACAGTGACCTGATTTATCTGACTATTTAAAACTAAGGTTACTCAGATGGTGGAAGTACAATTTCAAATGTCCATTAGGAAGAACAAATCTATTGATGAAAGAAAAACTCAGTTATTTCTTTTCAGTGACCTTCCTTATCCTTATCATAAATATAACCTTATAGTATTAACAATATTATTAACATAATAATTATAATGTATTAAGTACCTACAAAGTGGCATCTAGGTACTTCATATAGCAGTTTAAATCTTAACAGTCCTGCAAATTATATGTTGGAGTGCAAAGTCTATCATTAGGCCAAAATCACTTAGAAAAGAAATCTAGACAAGATCTTAACTATGTGCTGTGCTAAGTCACTTCAGTCGTTTACAGCTCTTTGTGACCTTGTGGGCTGTAGCTCACCAGGCTCCTCTGTCCACAGGATTCTCCAGGCAAGGGTACTAGAATGGGTTGCCATGCCATCCTCCAGGGGATCTTCCCTACCCAGGGTTTGAAACCCGCATCTCTTATGTTTCCTGCATTGGCAGGCAGGTTCTTTATCTGGGAAGTCTGTATCTTAACTGTAAGTGTTAGTCGCTCAGTTGTGTCTGACACTTTGTGATCTGTGGACTGTAGCCCACCAGGCTCCTCTGTCCATGGGATTTTCCAGGCAAGAATAATGGAGTGGGTTACCATTTCCTCCTCCAGGGGATCTTCCCAACCCAGGGATCGAACCCACATCTCCTGTGTCTCCTGCATTTCAGGCGGATTCTTTACCTATTAGGACATCGGGGAAGCCATGTATCTAAATCAGTCTTACTTAGTAAGGAAGTAGGCTTAAGAGGCGATACCAAAGACAAATCTAATGACTAAGGGAGCAAAAGAAAATGGAAAAACAAATTCTCCACCATGGGCGCCCTCTAGTGGGAGGCAGAGAGCAAGACACTTCAGATCCCTCTTCCATGTCTGTGCTCCAGCCCTTCTCCCACTGGGCTGTGGGTATTGGCTAAGGGAACATCCTTCATCCCAAACGGGAGTGCAGAAGGACAGAGCCAACATCTTGATCACATTTTTTACATTAAATTTTTAAAGCTCTGTAAAGCTATTATTGATATATTTTAAATGATGCAAGTTTTGACATGAAACCATCCCAGCAATAAAAGAAATGAATGTAACAATCATAATACCCCCATTCCTGTTTGAACTTCTCTTTCACCTCTTTGCCTCCAGCCCACCCCTAGGTAATCACTATCTGCTTTCTGTCATTATTACTTAGCTCACTTTTCTAGAATTTCATGCAAATGGAGTAATACAGTAAGTACTTTTTGCATGTTTGTGTGTAACTTATTTCACCCAATGTAATTATTTTCAAATTTTAAGTATGTCTTATGTATCAATTGTTGTTGTTTAGTTGCCAAGTTAGTATCTGACTCTTGCAATCCCATGGTTCTTCTGTCCATAGGATTTTCCAGGCAAGAATACTGGAGCGGGTTGCCATTTCCTCTTCCAGGGGATCTTCCCAACCCAGGGATTGAACCTGTGTCTCTTGTGTCTCCTGCATTGACAGGTGGATTCTTTACCACTAGAACCACTTTGGATTTTGGGAAGTCCAAAATATGTATATATTTACATATAAAGACTTATTAGAAGGAAGTGGCTCATGTCATTATGGAGGCCGACAAGTCTAAAATCTACACAACTAACGTCTCAGTTCAAGTCCAAAGACTAGAAGTTCCTGTAGTACAAGAAGGGCCAGAGTTTCAGTTCAAAAGCTGTCTGACTGAACTCTCTCTTACTGGCAGTGGGATGGTGGGTTTTTTATTCTACTCTGGCCTTTGACTGATTGGATGAGGCCCAGCCACACTGGAGAGGACAATCTGCTTTCCTCAGTCTACCAACTGAAATGTTCATTTTTTCCAAAAATATCTTCCCAGAAATACCCAAATAATATTTGAACAAATATCTGGGAACCCTGTAACCCAGTCAAGTTGACTCATAAAATTAACCATCACAGGTATATTGATTATGCTTTTTTTTTCTTTTAAACTGCACATGTAACCACCATCACCCCTCTTCCCAAAATTCTGCTTAAGGCCAGTCCAAAGTATGTTCCATAAGCACTTGAGAATGAGAATCCTTTCCTAAAATAAATGAGCATCTTCCCCAAATCACCTTCTTACATGTGACCACTGAATGTAGAATGAAACTCTTTAGTATAGACCTTTGTTTATCACTCAGACCTGGACTGATCCAAGTATCAAAAAATCTACATAAACGCTCTTTCTTTGTTCCTAGAGCTATACATCATCATCCTTCCCTCCCACACTCTTTTTCTTCTTCTAGTTTGTATTAAGTATCTGTTCTCTGTAAGGGCTTCCCAGGTGGTGCTAGTGGTAAAGAGTCCGCCTGCCAATGTGGGAGACGTAGGCGACACAGGTTTGACCCCTGGGTCGGGAAGATCCCCTGGAGCAGGGCAGGGCAAACCACTCCAGTATTGTTGCCTGGAAAATCCCCACGGACAGAGGAGCCTGGCGGGCTATAGTCCATAGGGTTGCACAGAGTTGGACCCAACTGAAGCCACTTAGCACAGCACAGTACATTCTATGTAAAGTAATACAACTATTAAATGATCCTTATTTTTTCTCTGTAGGCTTTTAAAGTGTTCTACAAAGTGTCATTTTGCTCTCAGTGATTCCTCCTGGATTTTTTATTTTATATAAAAAATTGAAATTATTGTTGTGAATCGCTGTGTTGAGCTATGGTGTTCTTTTACAGATCTCACTAAGACTGTCTTGTAGAGAATTTCTAAAGTAATCAAGAGGTCAATTTGTAGCATTGTGTTTCTATGTATTTAGACTGAAAGAATGGTGTTCATTGGTGTAAAATTTTAGCAAAGAATCCTTGAGTTTCATTACAGAGGTTGAAATACCATAAGCATGTATGGAATGCCAGATTTGTACTTATTGGGATTTCGTTGATCGTTATAAAACTTGTCACTCTTACATGATGCATTTTCCTTTATTATGTCCTTATGATGAGTTCTAGTGCTGGATTTCTCTCCTAAATCAACTGCAAGCTCATCAGCACCATTAATAACAAAAAGTACATAGAAATTGCATCTGTCTGTGATCATGGTGGATTTTCCAGCTAGAAGAGTTTCTCAAAAGGGCTTCCTGAAGATCACTTGGGTACTCAAGGCAGAGAATCTAATTAAGGGTTGAAGACCAAGAATCATTTAGAGAAGATTGTTAGATACATGATCTGGGAGGATGGAACACAGAAAAGAGCTCATATTCTGCAATTTAAACATCTCTTTCAGAAAGGAAAACTAAAGGAGAAGAAAAATAGGAGCCGCATTTATTAATAACTTTCATTTGGGATCTGGATTACAATCAGTATATGTGAGGGTTCTGAAGAGTCTCAGTTTCTTTACTCATCCCCATTATTTTTTATAACATTTGTTCCATAAATTATCTATCATATTCTAGGTATTGTGGATAGCTCAGTGTATAAGAAAGATTGTAAAGACCAGTAAGGACATTACAACAGAATGTAAAGAAAATAATAGTACTAAGGAACACCGGGGTCCCGAGAGAGTTCTGAGGAGGGAGATGACCGGTGGATGGAAGCGCTCTAGGAGGACCGCTGTGGGGCGTGGGCAGGGGACGCGATAGCTTGAAACAGGTTGAGGAGGGTGGTGTCCTGGGGCTGCTGTTGAGGAGGGTAGTGACCTGGCCTTGGGTGAGGGCGAAGAAGCGACTCGGGTTGCGCTGATGTCGAAGAACAAACGCGGGATCGCGCAGGAACTGAGCTGCTGTCCCTTGTGGAGCAGCCCCGGAACAGGGAGCAGATTTGGAGCAGAATCAGGATGTGACAGATTTTTAACAAGGCCCCGAGAGCCCCACCGAGATGTCTGCGCTCGAACACGGTGGCTACGGAAAGCTCTCGCCTTCTTGGCAGCGAAGCCGAAGTCCGGAGCGCGTCGCAGGGACCCCGCGCAGTCCGGTCCCGCGGTGTCTCCGCCTGTTGATGCCGCGCGGCCCGCGGGCTCGGATGCTCGGCGCTCTGCCCTGGCAGCGATCCCGCAGCCGCATGAGGCGGTTTTGCGCTGAACCTCGGCGTAATGGAGGAAGGTGCTATTTTGGGATAACAGGCATATGATCAGCTCTTTTTTGGGGCAGATCTCACAGGCCGCGATGTTTGCAAAAAGAGTGACTTTCCCGAATGCCTCGCTTTCTGCTTCAGCACAGAAAACAGTTTCACGCATTGTTGCCGCTTCTGCAGAAAGGGTTTCGCATATGACATTGACAACCCACTGTGTTAACAACAGCAATAGCTCAGAGCAGTTTAACGAAAGATATTTATGTGTGGCTAGTAAGCTACATTCCTTTTCTCCCCCCTTCCAATGGTAGAAAGGAAAGCGGAGCCTAATCTGGAAGATGTGGACAGGCTCTGAAGCATCGGAAGGTTAATGGAATCAGGGAGCCCTAAATAAACAGAACTCCCCGACTGCCCCCTCTCCTTTCCATTACTTCGTCCTTGGCTTTTCTAGCTTTCCCCATGCCAAAAAAGTGAGCCTAGGAAGGGATGTGCTAGTATTACAACTAGTTTACGTTCTTTTTCTTACACACATTCTTACTACTACTTACAGTAAATATATATTCTTTGGTAATAAGCCAAAACGAATAAAAAATATTTCATAAAAAGATAAAACGTGTGTGTGTGTATGTGTGGCATGGTTTCTAGGACTGTGAAGTTTGGGTACCTTCATCCTGTTCGGTGTAGACAATATGGTGCCATGAATTCAGTGGATCTTATTTCCAGATGTTGCCCACTCTAGTGTGTTTTCTGTTTCATAAATTTAGCCAACTGTAGTCAGGAAAATCTTTCGGATTCTGCCTTGAATTAAGTGGAGAGATCAAAGGTGACTACAATGAACTGTCTACCCTCCAGACATTTTAAACCTCTGTATTCCAGACTGGTTGCTCCACCGTACATTATTTTTTTCTTGTTTCTTTTTTTTCTCTCTCCTGATAATTTCATCAGTCATATGATTTGGACTATCACTTTTGCATTTTTTTTTTGCCCAAATAATACCTATAACTAAAACCTTTTAAAATAAATTTAAGATGAATATGCCTAAGTGTCTACTGGAGCTGTTCACTTGAATTTTCATAGGAAACTCAAATTCAACATGTTCAGATTTGAATCACTTACGTAAGTCCCTATCCCCACTGAAAACAGAAACAAGCACCGCTGGCCTGATGCTTGACTTAATCCCCGTCCTCATAAACGGCACTTCTGTTCTCCTAGTTGCCCAAGCCGGGACCCAGCTCATCATGTTTGTCCCTGCTTCCCTTTTCATTATCCTTTTTATTTTATTTATCCTTTATTTTCATCATCACATATTTATTAAAACCTCTCTACTCTGACTCTTAGTGACCTTTGGATCTGCCACCTCCTTACAATCCCCAGAATAGGCACTGTCTGAAAGCTGTAATAACAGTTGGAGTGGAACTCACATCCTCAGTCTTGTCCCTCACCTGTCACTGTTTCCAGATGAATCTTTCTACAATACAAATAGGATGTGTGTTCTCCCTGTTACCACCTTTCAATAACCTCCCCATTACTACTGGGATGAAGTCCAAATCATTTGGACATGGCATATGTATTTCCCAATAAAGAAAAGTGTGGAGTCTGGAGTCAGACCCATCTGAGTTCAAGTCCTGATTCTGCCAGTTGACAACTGCATGACCTTGAGTAACTTCTCTGTTTCTACCTCCACATTTGTGAAATGAGGACAGCAGTAACTACTTGTAGTAAGCTGCTTGTGTTTCCCAGTACCTGCTTCTCTTCTAATTACGGATGTTACATTTCTTTCTTTTCTGAAGTTAGGTGTGCCCAAGTGATCTGCAGAATCTGAAAAAAAAAAAGCAGAAGTGGTGTGTGTTACCTCCGTGTAGAGGCATTCAGTTCCTGGGATCAGACTCTCCAGCCCACTTTTTCCCTTGGCAAATGTGAGGACATGTGTTGATATGAAGGTGCTATGAGAATTAAGGAGACTGAATGCTGAGCCAACACTTAGAAGGCAGCTGCCCTGGAGAGTGAACCAGATTCCAACAGATTATGTGTGGGTGATAAATAGAGTCACTGGATGAAGCGACTGAGATTCAGGAGTTATCCCAGCCTAGCTAAACCTAAACAGACATAAGATCTATAGCTATAAGAATTGTATCATGTCTGCAGACGTTCGACATGGTGTTTGATGTGAAGCACGTGTTCATTGGTAGCAGTGATCACGGCTCTTTTTCCAGACAATATCCTTTCCCGTTTCCCTTTAGCATACTTTTGTTCCAAATGCACCTATCCACTCACCCTTTCACATCTTAGCATCTTTAGACATTGTGATTACTCTGTAGGTACTATTTTCTACGATCTTACTTAACTGATGAAATGTATTCAACACTCAAGAATCAAGTGCCCCCCTCAACGGGGACTTTCCTATCCCTGAGCCCACCCATAGCCCAGAGTGGTCACTTGGGTTTCTCTGCTCACATATACAGAGGACTTCTCCTTAGCACTTTTACCCTTGACTGCAGGAATTCCACTGCATATTTGTCTCTCTTCCTGGACTGTGGGGTTCCTGAGAGAAGTTTTCCTCCTTACTCATCTCTATAGTCTGAGAACCTAGAGCCAGATCTGCCACAAAGTAGATATTTAGTAAAAATGTAAAGACAAAAGACCTCCCAAAGCTAACACAGGAAAGAAGATATTCCACCACAGTGTGACAAGTGATTGGCATAAGGTACAAAGACTCTTGTTTTTCTGAAGCCCACTGTGTTCATTTTCTCTCAGACTCAGCCTCCTTTTGACTTTGTGACCATTGGCTGGTCTAACTTTCCTATTTTACAGATGAGGAGACTGAGCCCAAGGAGAGGACGCAGCGGCACAGACTCAGGAGTAGAAATCAGACGACGTTGCTCTGTAACAGCTGAACATGAGGGAGTGAAACCGTTGGGTGTCCTTTCAGGGGTTACGGATAGGTCTGGTACCAAAATCCTTTATGTCTCTGACGAAAAGAATTCAGCAAGAGGCAAAGTGATAGACAAGAAGTGATTTGTTATTTAATAGAATAGGATGCTTGTGAGGCTTACAAGTGGGTGAGTGAGAGATGTCGCAACCCAAGAACTTAACTGACTACAGTTTTATAATCAAAGTAAAAGTGAGAAGGGGGTGAAGAACTTTGTCTTTCCTGAGTCATGCTTCCATCATCAGCTCCTCCTCCAGGTTGAGCAGGGGAATTTTCTTGTCCCTACGTGGTCAAGCCAGGTCCACAAATGATCATTTTTTTAATGTGTGCAGAGAAGACGTCCTAGGGATCATTAACTTACTGCGCTCACTGAGCAGGATATAGGTCTCACGCCACCGTCCTAGGGATCATTAACTTACTGCGCTCACAGAGCAGGATATAGGTCTCACGTCACCGTTGTTTTGTTGTTTGGGGCATGTCTTATGCTTCTGTTGCATGGCTTTGTGTTAAGCAAGGCTGCTTGGTTTTGTGGTTATGCACAACCACTGTCTTGAGTAATCATTAACTTACAGGGGTCTCCCATATTTTTCTGCTTACAATCCCCGAGTGGGATTAACTATTTAACCACCTACTTTGTCCCTTTCAGTTCAGTTCAGTTCAGTCACTCCGTCGTGTCCGACTCTTTGCGACCCCATGAATCACAGCACGCTAGGCCTCCCTATCCATCACCAACTCCCGGAGTTTACTCAAACTCACGTCCATCGAATCGGTGACGCCGTCCAGCCATCTCAATCTCTGTCGTCCCCTTCTCCTCCTGACCCCAATCCTTCCCAGCATAAAGGTCTTTTCCAATGAGTCAACTCTTCTCATGAGGTGGCCAAAGTATCGGAGTTTCAGCTTCAGCATCAGTCCTTCCAAGGAACACCCAGGACTGATCTCCTTTAGGATGGACTGGTTGGATCTCCTTGCAGTCCAAGGGACTCTCCAGAGTCTTCTTCAACACCACAGTTCAAAAGCATCAATTCTTCAGCGCCCAGCTTTTTTCACAGTCCAACTCTCCCATCCACACATGACCACTGGAAAAACCATAGCCTTGACTAAACAGACCTTCGTTGGCAAAGTAACGTCTTTGCTTTTTAATATGCCATCTAGGTTGGTCATAACTTTCCTTCCAAGGAGTAAGCGCCTTTCAGTTTCATGGCTGCAGTCACCATCTGCAGTGATTTTGGAGCCCAAAAAAATAAAGTCAGCCACTGTTTCCACTGTTTCCCCATCTATTTCCCATGAAGTGATGGGACCAGATGCCTTGATCTTAGTTTTCTGAATGTTGAGCTTTAAGCCAACTTTTTCACTCTCCTCTTTCACTTTCATCAAGAGGCTCTTTAGTTCTTCTCTTTCTGCCATAAGGATGGTGTCATCTACATATCTGAGGTTATTGATATTTCTCCCGGCAGTCTTGATTCCAGCTTGTGCTTCTTCCAGCCCAGCGTTTCTCATGATCTTCTCTGCATGTAAGTTAAATAAGCAGGGTGACAGTATACAGCCTTGACGTACTCCTTTTCCTACTTAGAACCAGTCTGTTGTCTGGCTGTCTGAGGAGGCTTTACAAATAAGCTGTGAAAAGAAGAAAAGCAAAAAGCAAAGGAGAAAAGAAAAGATAAACCTATTTGAATGCAGAGTTCCAAAGAATAGCAAGGAGAGATAAGAAAGCCTTCCTCAGGGATCAATGCAAAGAAATAGAGGAAAATAACAGAATGGGAAAGACTAGAGATCTCTTCAAGAAAATTAGAGATACCAAGGGAACATTTCATGCAAAGATGGGTTTGATAAAAGACAGAAATGGTATGGACATAACAGAGGCAGAAGATATTAAGAAGAGGTGGCAAGAATACACAGAAGAATTGTACAAAAAAGATCTTCATGACCCAGATATCACGATGGTATGATCACTCACCTAGAGCCAGACATCCTGGAATGAGAAGTCAAGTGGGCCTTAGAAAGCATCACTATGAACAAAGCTAGTGGAAGTGATGAAATTCCAGTTGAGCTATTTCAAATCCTGAAAGATGATGCTGTGAAAGT